CCCTGTGTTTTATTACTGAGCAGTTTTCTTTCCCATCCTTGTTTTCTCTTCTTTCCCCCTCCTGCCTTCTCCTCTCTTTTTATCTTGGCTTGGGGACCAGGGCCCCTCTCCTCAGGCCCCCGTGGTTCATTCCCATTAAACTCGACAGTCGCTCTTATGCACTTTGGAAGAGGCGGCTTCCCGCTCCTCTCCCTCCCGTTCCCGGGCCTGCGTAATGCTCAGATCAAGCACCATCTGTTGCATTCATCCCGGCGACGGTTGAGCATTTTGCTGCTCTGGGGAGGCAGAGCTCAGTGGGTACCAGGACGTAATGTGGCTTGTTTGGGCAACTTGACATATCGATACTGATGGAGCCACCCAACGGGATCAGGAGGGACGGGGCAGGAGGGAGTGGTGCGCGCCAGGAAGAACTAGGCCGCGGAGGGGCTCGCCGGCATGTCCTCCTCCAAGTCTGTCTGGGCTCGTGGCACTGCTGCTGAGGCAAGAGCGGCCAGACAGATGGATGGGATTTGCTACAGTCGGTATTAGAAACCCACGTAGCTCAGGGGAGCGAACCTTCCCTCCCTGTGAGTCTTCCTCTCGTCCCAGCCAGTCAAATCTACATCAGCAGAAATAACAGGATGGGCAGAGGCCGATCTTCAGGAATCGCTGAATGTCAGAGCCACAGCAAAAAGGGATGGCACTTCAGTCAAGGTTCCAGCTGGACAAAGAAGTCACCCTCAAATGGGATTTTTAGGGGAAATCAATGAAGGGACTATTTATAGAGGTGCAGGCAGAGTGAAGAGAATCGGCATGGGGGTACTGAGGAACCAGGGGCAAGAAATAAGAGGAAGCCATTATGAACCCCTGGAGCTGCACGGTCAGGGAGAGGGAAAAAAAATTGTTTATTTTTCTGGAGCCTGTGAAAACTGGATCTGTGGAAACTGGTACCCTGGCAGAAGCTATAATTGTTGAGAGTCCCAGACTCTGTCAGATACATGGTGCAGAAACAGGCAAGGAGCGCGAAGACATGCCCCCAGTTCTCTCCTCCTCTGTCCTGCCAGAGCCTCCCACAGGGCAAACCCAACTGGTAGGGTAGCCAGATAACAGGAGCTGCCCAGAAAGGGTGTGCGTCCAGGACATAGGGTGGAGCAGAGTGAACGTGGGGGCAGGGCGGGTGTGGGGTGCTACGGAGAACAGCCAGTGCCATCAGGAAGGAATGTGCGTTCTATTGCCTGCAGTGGGCCAGGAGCTCACGTTCCTAACCAACCACTGCACGCAGTCCCTCTCTGCATTTTCCAAGGAATGCGTGTATAGAGTCTCCAGCTCACTCTTGGGAGTATAAGACCCACATAACCGCCTGTCTACTCAGCACCTCCACTTAGGCGTCCGGAAGACACCGAGCTTCTGTATCTAGGTCACAGTCGCTCTGGATCAGTCCTCTGGGTCACGTTCCCCATCTTCCCAAGAGGTGCCATTGTTATGTCCCTATGGATGCAGACCAGGAGTCATCCTCCATACCTCCCACTCCTGTCCCCACCTTTGCCAGTCACTCAGCACATTCTCAGGGCATTGAGCCTACAAAATACCCTGAGTTTGCCCGCTTCTCCGTCTCTACTGCTCTGCCTCTGCCCTCTCCTGTCAGCCACCCTCTCTCTCCAGGCCAGCAGCATCTCAGACGCGGACTTCTGTGCCATGGCCCCGCCTTCCTGGTGGGTCTTCACTCTTCTGTTTCTGTCCTTCTCCAGTGAATTCTGCTCTCTGCTGCCAGAGCCATCTTCCCCAGATGAGAATCTGACCAAGTCACTCTCCTATCTAAAACCATCATTTACAAAGCCCAGAGGGTTAGGATGAGGGCTGGTTAGAGCTACTGTTAGGATCAGGACCTCATTCCTCTCCAGCATGAGCGCATCCCACTTGATTTCAGTGTTTCAGGCCCACCAGCCATTGACTGCAGCAGCCCCTCTCGTATCTGTTCTCCCCAAGGGGTCTTTGTTTAGATTCCTCCCCTGCCTCTTTGGCTTCTGGGCATCCCTACCACCCCTTCCTTCTGATGGATCATATTCTTTTCAGACCTTCACACTGCTCACTTCCTGGAAGCAAGTTCCCATGATTTCCATAAACCAGATGATATTTCTCCAATAGAGCACCTTGTATCACCTTTCACCTCTCTTTCCCTGTATATATCATTTTCACGTCTTTACATGTATCTGTCAATCACTTCATTAATATTGGTGAGCATCATGGAGTTTGGGCTTTTCCACCCCTGAACCTGGTAATGGAGTGCATTTTGTGTCCCTCACAGATCTGTCTGCTGAAGCCTTCAGGGTGACTCTGTAGTCTTCTTGGGCTGCCGTAAGAAAATATCATAGACCGGGGGCTTAACAACAGCAATTTATTGTGCCACAGGTCCAAAGTCGGGGTGCCCATATGGTCGGGTTCTGGATTCCTGATGGCTGCCTCCTCACTGTGTGCTCGCGTGGTTTTTCTCGGTGGGTGTGCAGAAAGAGAGGGAGATCTTCCTCTTCTTATAAAGGCACCAGTCCTATTAGTTTAGGACCTCACCCTTATGACCTCATTTAACCTGAATTACCTACTCAAAGCCCTATCCAAATACAGTCACTTTGGGGGTTAGAGCTTCAACATAGGAATCTTGAGGCATAATTCAATCCCCAGCTGACTGTATTTAGAGATACGATCATTAGGAGGTAATTAAAATTAATTGAGATCATAAAGGTGGGAAAATCTGATAGGACTGTGACCTCAGAAGAAGAGGAAGAGGTCTGGACGCCGTCCCCCATTCCCAGTGCCACCATGCAAAGACAGCCTTTAGGACATGGCGATAAAGCAGCTGTCTGCAAGCCAAAAGGAGGGTATTCACTAGGACCGACCTGCAGGCACCCTGATCTCAGACTTCCAGTCTCCAAAATTGTGAGAAAATACCTATCTGTTGTTTGTTACCCAGTCCATGATTTTTGTTATGACGGCCCAAGCAGAGTAACTCACTCCTCCTGTACTCATCACATGTAAATTATGTTTTTTTCTGAAAATGCTGTTGAATGAATGAATAGGGAGATTAATGAATGCATGGATGGTGGCAAACACACCAGTATGGAATCCTTGGAAGATTCCAGATGATGACTTATTCAGGACTTGGCCACAATAGAGGCCAACAGTTAGAATTTTGGGAAAATCACTCTCTGTGTTTAAAGCATCAAGGTTGGGCATACAGAACTGGACTGTAGCATATTGCTGGAGGGCTCTGCATCACAGGCTTGGAGGAAGGGGCCCATATTTGGGATTATCTTCTTGGTTCACATCTAAGTAGACCTCACAAAGATATCTGGGGAGAGAGAGAGCAAGACAGGCAGTAAGGAAGTTATGCTACCACATGGTTCATTTGTATTGACAATTGTTTTTTCCTTAGCAAACATAGTTCCTATGTCCCCAAAGAGGGGATTTCTCACCCAGAGCCTAATGCCCAGACCAGCCCTCCAGGTATGAGCTACCCTGCAGACACATCTGTCTAAGCTGATAACCTTTCCTGGAAATATAGGAGCTCCTTAGAAATTGATGTTGGGACATTCAGAAGCCTTATTGTCCAGTCTGGTGAAACCCCTTCAAAGAAACAGGAATCTTTGGCACATCCTGTGTCTTATCTTTAGACAGCAGGTAACTCAAACTGAAGACATTTCCTTTCTTACAGAGACATAGAAGGAGGGAAGACTGAGTTTGAAGATTTGAAAGTTGAGGCTGTCTTTGGGAATTTTTCAGAACAAAGCCACTGGGGCCATTTAGCCAACCTCCTTTTCTTCTTTCTTGTTTCCTCTTCTTGCCTTTTATGTTAGCTTTCTCTTCCTTTCTCAAGAGTTCTTGCCTTTTTTTTCATCTCCCACCTTTTCCTCTTTGCCCATCTGACCTCTCTGTGTCCATTCTCTGGAACTTTCCACCAGTGCCAGTTTTGAAATTTTGTGGAAATGTGGCTCTAACAAATCATGGGAGAAGACTGACACAGTAGTTGGACTAAGAGATAGAAGGTTTGATTTTGCTACTTGCTAGCTTGGAGCAAGTCATATGCCTTATCTGGGGTGGTGGTGGGGTGGGGGCTATTTGCCTTCAGTGAAATGGAGATAGTATACCAAGTGATGTTCATATCACTGTCCTGAAGTTTGATCTCCTAAAATGTTGTTTGGCCCTCATACTGCTGTGCAGTTCAAGCCACCATTCCCCTGGCTGGCGGTTGTAGAAGCCACTGTCCGAGCCTCTAATTACACTCTCCATACTCTAGTTAGTAATTGTCATCAAAGGGCCTTACTTTGAACATGACTTTGAACATGCCAGTGTTCTGTTTAAAAGCTTTCAATGATTAGGTTTTGTCATTGTCATACAATCTAGACTCCTCAGTGTGGCTTACAAGGTGATCTCACCTCCCCAGCATCCTCTCTTTGTAGGCTCCATCATGGCCGCACCACACTCTCTTCAGTTGCTCAAGTACCACACCCTTACTGGCTTTAGATCTTTGCCTAGGCCTCTCCTCCTACCCAGGGCATTACCCCCAAATCTTTTAATAACTCTACCTTGATCTGCCCTTCTTTGCTAATTCCTTTTCTTCCTCAAGGTCTCAAGGTAGACATTGCCTCCTCCAGGAAGTCTGCCCTGACTCCCAGGGAGGGTGAGATGACCTTCTTGGTACTCCTCTGGTACACTGTACTCTCCTATTGCAGAAGTATTACACAGTGTTGGAAATGCCTGGGGATGTGGCCTACCAAGTTATGAATTCCATGAATTATGGTTTGTGTCTAACTTTTCCCCATATCTCAAGGACTTTGAGCAGTGCCTGGTACATAGTAGGAGTTGAATAATTGAGTAAGCCAGCAGATCCATGTGTACTGGCACCTGTGGCTTCTGTGTCCTCTATGGGTCAGGGAAGGAGGCCCAGGGACTCAGAGTGGCCAGGCCCAGTCCTCTAGGGGCTGGGGATGGACCAAACTCTAACCTCAGCCCCATTGCTCACCCTGTAGCAGCAGCTGAGGCGGCGCAGGAGACAGTGGAGTCCCTGATGCAGAAGTTCAAGGAGAGTTTCCGCGCTAACACGCCCATCGAGATCGGTCAGCTGCAGCCAGCCCCACGCAGCACCTCGGCAGGGAAGCGGAGGCGGAGGAGCAAGTCTCGAGGTAGGCCCGTCCAGCACCTCTTGCCAGGACATCAGCAGGCTGTCCACAGGTTCTGAAGATACGAGGAAGAGCTGTGCCTTCTTCCCTTGCTTCTCTGCACCCACAAAACTCGTGCCACTGTTTGCCTGATAAGTCATGACAGCTGAGGCCTTGGAGACAGCAGACATGTGCCCTGGGTGTAGAGCTAACCTCTGAGCACCGGCTCAGAGAATGGGAGTGGATCATTGTTTAGAGTGGTTGAGAAGATTAGCAATGCTCGGTGGGAAGTGCCTAGCACAGGATCTGAGCACAGTGGGTACTCTTTAAATTGGAGCTGGTGTCATTTTGGAGAGAGGAAGAGGGGCAGAAGATGCTCATGGAAAGGCAGACTCAGGATGGGACTCCAGACCAAGGTTTGGGTCATCCTTGAATAGCCTGAATAATACAGTGGTCAAGAGTAGTAGCATTGCACAATAGATAGAACAGGATCTAAACTGTGGTCCTGCAGTTAACTAACCATGTTACCTAACCTTGCTGGGCAGGTCCCTCTGCTCCTCCAACCCACTCCTATCTCACAAGGTTGCTAAAATGCCTTAGCACGGTGCCCAGCCCAGCATGCATCATAAAGTAGATTTTCCCCTCCTTCTCCTCATCCTCCTCTTCCTCTCTCCTCCGCATCATCATCATCACCTCTTTCTTCCCTGATCATCTGTGTGACTTTGTATATGAGACAAGCCCTATTATCATTGCCTGATTCCCAAATCGGGTCTCTTTTCTTTCTGTCCACTCAACAGTCTCTTGACTCGGTTCTGACTATGTCCCTCCTCTTCTCCCATAGCTTCAGTGTCATCCAGTACCTTCAGATGTGGTCGGGCTTGAAGATGACATTCAAGGTCATCAGAGAGCTCTCATCTCTCTATGCTGTCCCTTCTAAATCCCTGTGTTCTGCTTCGATGTTCTTTTTCATGCTGTTTCCCTTGCCCTAAATCTCCAACTGGACCCTATGAATAATCGTTGTCATTTATTAACACTCACTTATTCCAGGCAGCAGGAAATGCTATGTACACCTTATCTCATTTGATTCTCAGCAGCCCTATGAAGAAGGTATCATAATCCCCATTTTAGAGATGATTACATTACAGCAGTAACCCTGCCAAAGCGACACCTTAGTAAGCAGTACAGCCATGAAAAACTAAGCAGTCTGAGTTCCAAACACTTCTAGCTAAACCTCTTTGCTCTGTACTAGTGAAGTCCTATCTGTCTTCCAAGCTGAACTTGCATGGCACGTTTCCTTGAAGATGTCACCGATCGTCACAGTCACAAATCACTCTGAATCCTCCTATGTGCGAATGCCCCCGCATTTTACATATGTGCTAAGCACTGATTTCACTTTTGTGTCATAGAATTTGCTCTTTTCTACCTCCTTAGCTAGACAGAGAGTTCTTTGAAGGTGGGGATTGTCTTATTATTTGAATTGTCTTTACTTTTCTGGGCCTACATTAGTGCCTGTGCACATGATAGACACTTGTTATTTATTGAGAGAGTGTCTAGGTCTTAATCCTGGGAATGTTTTCTGAATCTTGTGAAAAACCAACATCTGCGCGTTTGGTTGAGGTCATGAATTGAGGCAGAAGTGGGTCATGGAATCCCCATGGCAAACCCCAGGTTCACTGTGTATAGTGATAAAAAAAAAAAACACTGGCTTTGTGGTCAACAGTGTCTGGGGATTCATCCCAGTCCAGTCCGTTGCAACTTGCATGGCTTTGGAAGAGTCAGCAGATGTCTTTGAGTCTGTTTCCTCTTCTGTACCCTGGGGGTGCCAATCCCTCTCCCAGAGAATTGCTGTGAGGTGTTGATGAGATGATGAGTGACAGAATACCTTGGAATGCCTCAGCTGATGTGTATTAGGAACTGAATAAATGCAATCAGGTATTTCTTCTGGATGGGGGATTGAGAGTCACTTATAATTTCACTCAGTCATCTTTATGCCTCTACATTCACCAAGAATTCCCCTCCTACATCCTCCCTACATATACAGACCCCATAAACTGGACTCCAAGTCTAAAACCTCCCCCCAACTTCACTGCCAATCTGAATTCATTTCCTTAGTGTCATCTCAAACATTTTTATGTCACTGAATTCTTCACCCCCAAATCCTTTTTGATGTACCATAACTGTCTCGATAAGGCCCCTACTATTAGGCATCTAGGCTGTTTCTGATAGTTTATCATTATAAACAGTGTCACATGGAACACAGCTTTTGGCATAAAACTTGGTCTTCACTTTGGAATCTGCCTGTTTCCCCCTCTTAGAACTTCAGAACTAGATTATTAATGAAAATCTGTTTGACCTCTACTATGATTGGATATCAGGTTATTTCATTTTACAAGTTAGATGGAGCCTAAGAGAGTTAGTGGTTCTACCAAGACGAAGAAATTCATTTTCCTCCTACATGTATCTTAAATCTGTCCTCTCTTATTTGTCACCACTTTATTTAATGGCTGTTGTCACCTCTCACCTCCTACTTGCAACTGGACCCTCCTAGAGATTCAGTCTCCCCAAAGCAGCTGGAGTAATCTTTTTTTAGAAACATAAACCAGATAAGGTCACTTTTCTGCTGAAAGTCGTTTGCTATCCTTGGAATACAATCCAAACTGCTTGCTGTGGCTTATAGACCCTGTTCTCTCTGGATCTACCTCCTGCCCTCTTCACTTGCTTGGCATTTCCTTGTGCACCAGCCACACTGAATTTCTTTGTGTTGCATGAACACAGCACATGGCTCCCCACTCTAGAATCTGAGAGCTCTCTGTCCCTTCTCCTTGCCGTGTCTCTTCTAACCTCCCAGCTGCACTCCTGGCCAGCCCCTCCACACCTTTCAGTTCTCAGCTCAAATGTTAGCTCCTGGACTGTCTTCCATGACTACCCCACCTAACGTTTTACTCTTTTCCATCCCCAACCTTCTACTGTCTGTTACACAACCCTTTTTTACTTCTTCCATAATATTATGGTCTAAAAGTATTTTATGCATTTGCCTGTTTGCTATCTGTCTCTCTAAAATGTTTCATATTCATAAACCTAGTACATAGAGAGCGTTTAATAAATATTTGTTGAATAAATGACTGTATTCACCTCAAAGATCTCTGGAAACTGGCTCACTTTTGTAACAACTATCACACTGATGGTGTAAGGGGGACCCAGGATAAACCAAAGCTTCCTGATACAGACCTCCAGGGAATCCACTTTTCCCAGACATAGGCTCTGATGGATAGCACGTTAAATGTGCTCAAGTAGTTGCTGTTAAAGCAGTTTTCAAAATGGTTTAACAGCACTGTGCTCATGATTTTACTACCACCATTGGATAAGACAGCAAGAGAAAGTGAGGCAAATGCATGCCAGCCCTCTATTTCCCAACACACACACTTACCATCAGAGGTCCTCAGGATTTCCTCGGACAAAAGAGGCTTGTGGTCAATAAAAGTTTAGAAATTGTGTGCACTCTCTCTTACTCTTAGAAATTCCCAAACACATCTAAGACTATTAAAAGACCCTGGGAAGTCTTGCAGTACAGAAAGCCACTTTGTTTAGCTCAGTGACTGTGAAACCAACTTGACCACAGATTCTGTTTCTCCCCTAGGGACATTTACATCATGACGGACATAAACACCATTAAAACACAATGTGGGAAGGGCTTTTATAGCATGTATGGACTGACCATCACAGACCCCATTCATGATGGTCCCAAGCCTCAGTCTTCCCTGCTTCTAAGATGACCATGGGTATATCATTGCCTGATTCCCAAATCGGGTCTCTTTTCTTTCTGTCCACTCAACAGTCTCTTGACTCGGTTCTGACTATGTCCCTCCTCTTCTCCCATAGCTTCAGTGTCATCCAGTACCTTCAGATGTGGTCGGGCTTGAAGATGACATTCAAGGTCATCACAGAGCTCTCATCTCTCTATGCTGTCCCTTCTAAATCCCTGTGTTCTGCTTCGATGTTCTTTTTCATGCTGTTTCCCTTGCCCTAAATCTCCAACTGGACCCTATGAATAATCGTTGTCATTTATTAACACTCACTTATTCCAGGCAGCAGGAAATGCTATGTACACCTTATCTCATTTGATTCTCAGCAGCCCTATGAAGAAGGTATCATAATCCCCATTTTAGAGATGATTACATTACAGCAGTAACCCTGCCAAAGCGACACCTTAGTAAGCAGTACAGCCATGAAAAACTAAGCAGTCTGAGTTCCAAACACTTCTAGCTAAACCTCTTTGCTCTGTACTAGTGAAGTCCTATCTGTCTTCCAAGCTGAACTTGCATGGCACGTTTCCTTGAAGATGTCACCGATCGTCACAGTCACAAATCACTCTGAATCCTCCTATGTGCGAATGCCCCCGCATTTTACATATGTGCTAAGCACTGATTTCACTTTTGTGTCATAGAATTTGCTCTTTTCTACCTCCTTAGCTAGACAGAGAGTTCTTTGAAGGTGGGGATTGTCTTATTATTTGAATTGTCTTTACTTTTCTGGGCCTACATTAGTGCCTGTGCACATGATAGACACTTGTTATTTATTGAGAGAGTGTCTAGGTCTTAATCCTGGGAATGTTTTCTGAATCTTGTGAAAAACCAACATCTGCGCGTTTGGTTGAGGTCATGAATTGAGGCAGAAGTGGGTCATGGAATCCCCATGGCAAACCCCAGGTTCACTGTGTATAGTGATAAAAAAAAAAAACACTGGCTTTGTGGTCAACAGTGTCTGGGGACTCATCCCAGTCCAGTCCGTTGCAACTTGCATGGCTTTGGAAGAGTCAGCAGATGTCTTTGAGTCTGTTTCCTCTTCTGTACCCTGGGGTTGCCAATCCCTCTCCCAGAGAATTGCTGTGAGGTGTTGATGAGATGATGAGTAACAGAATACCTTGGAATGCCTCAGCTGATGTGTATTAGGAACTGAATAAATGCAATCAGGTATTTCTTCTGGATGGGGGATTGAGAGTCACTTATAATTTCACTCAGTCATCTTTATGCCTCTACATTCACCAAGAATTCCCCTCCTACATCCTCCCTACATATACAGACCCCATAAACTGGACTCCAAGTCTAAAACCTCCCCCCAACTTCACTGCCAATCTGAATTCATTTCCTTAGTGTCATCTCAAACATTTTTATGTCACTGAATTCTTCACCCCCAAATCCTTTTTGATGTACCATAACTGTCTCGATAAGGCCCCTACTATTAGGCATCTAGGCTGTTTCTGATAGTTTATCATTATAAACAGTGTCACATGGAACACAGCTTTTGGCATAAAACTTGGTCTTCACTTTGGAATCTGCCTGTTTCCCCCTCTTAGAACTTCAGAACCAGATTATTAATGAAAATCTGTTTGACCTCTACTATGATTGGATATCAGGTTATTTCATTTTACAAGTTAGATGGAGCCTAAGAGAGTTAGTGGTTCTACTAAGATGAAGAAATTCATTTTCCTCCTACATGTATCTTAAATCTGTCCTCTCTTATTTGTCACCACTTTATTTAATGGCTGTTGTCACCTCTCACCTCCTACTTGCAATTGGACCCTCCTAGAGATTCAGTCTCCCCAAAGCAGCTGGAGTAATCTTTTTTTAGAAACATAAACCAGATAAGGTCACTTTTCTGGTGAAAGTCGTTTGCTATCCTTGGAATACAATCCAAACTGCTTACTGTGGCTTATAGACCCTGTTCTCTCTGGATCTACCTCCTGCCCTCTTCACTTGCTTGGCATTTCCTTGTGCACCAGCCACACTGAATTTCTTTGTGTTGCATGAACACAGCACATGGCTCCCCACTCTAGAATCTGAGAGCTCTCTGTCCCTTCTCCTTGCCGTGTCTCTTCTAACCTC